TTTGCCATCCAAGTACAGTATTTAAAAGCAATTCTGAAGTTAGAAAGTGTAGCATAGGCTCCTCGCACATTATTCTTAATATGGTCCTCGGGTGACAGTTTTCTATCTACAACCACCACTAGATCCCTTTCTTTGTCAGAATTCTTTTAAGATTTCTCACATTATTTATAGGTAGTGTGGGGTCTATGTTCTCCAATTTCACATTCCATAACATGGCATTTATTCACATTAAATTCCATTTGTCAAGTGTTGCTCCATATATTTATATTGTCCAGGTCTTCTTGAAGGGCATGTCAATCATCTAGGTTTCGTATCTTCCCTATTATCTTAGCATCATCAGCAAACATGTTCATATAATTCTGTATTCCAAATGGTAGAGCATTTATGTAGACAATGAACATTACCGGTGCAAGAACTGAACCCTGTGGTACTCCACTTGTGACATTCCTCCATTCCGATACATTGCCTCTGATTATGGCCCTCATTTTTCTGTCAGGAAATTTTTCATCCATGTTCGAAGCTTACCTGTCATCCCTCCAATATGTTCCAGTTTCCAGAATAATCTTTTGTGTAGAACTCTGTCGAAAGCCTTTTTTAGGTTTGGATAGATGCAGTCAACCCAACCATCTCTTTCCTGTAAAATCTGTGTCTCGATCATAGAAACCGAGTAAGTTTGTTACACAGGATCTTCCAGATCAAAAACCATACTGTCTGTCTGATATTATATCGTTTTTCTCTAGGTATTCTACCTATTTACTTCTAATTATTTGACTATGACACCTGTCAATGATACAGGTCTATAATTAAGGGGGTCTTCCCTGCTTCAAATTTTGTAGATTGGAACTATGTTAGACTTTTTCCACACATCAGCTAAAACTCCAGTAAACAGTGATGCCTGAAAAATCAGTTGAAGTGGAATGCTGAGCTCAGGTGCACATTCTTTCAGAACCCATGGTGAAACTCCATCTGGACCAACTGCCTTGTTCTTACTTAGCTCCTTGAGCATTCTTTCCACTTTGTCTCTAGACACCTCTGTGTGCTCTAAGTTGTTCCCTGGAATTCGTATTGTGTTTGGTTCCCAGAACTTGAACATGTGCATTTCTATAAGCCATTGCCCCTCGTGCCTCTCTGAGGGGGCCAGGCTCTGGCTCATGGTCCCCAGTGACCATGATGCTAAAGTCTAATATATCCATATCAGCCTGGATAGCTCCAGGGAGCCTCTGGGTCTCACCCAGAAAATGGCATTTCATTACATTGAATGCTGGTTTTTTGGGTTTTGAACATAAAATAAGCGTTGAATGTAATGAAACGCCATTTTTCTGGTAGAGACCCGGAGTCTCCCTGGGGCTATACAGGGCTGATTTGTATATATTAGACAGTATCAACAGTGAATCGAAGGAGTTCTAGACCTACTGGGGACCAGAGCCAGAACATGGCCCCCCTCAAGAAGAGGCACGAAGAGCAATGGCCTAAAGACTTTGTCGAGTCTAGACCTAAAAAGAAAGACGTATCTTTTTCTGCCATCTACCAGGTCAGGCACCCAGAAAGATAGGAATTCCAAAACAAACAACAAATTCCAAAACTGCAAACCAAAAGCCGAACAAGCAACAGAACTCTCCAATCAAAACCAAGAAAACAAATATGATGTCACCACAAATGGCGCACATCGTCGCCATTTGAGGTTGTTTTGGAAACTGGAAAATATTGGAGGAGTGACAGGTACGCTTCTAACATAGATGAAAAATTTTCTGACTGATAGAAAAATGAGGGCTGTGATCAGAGGCAATGTATCGGACTGGAGAAATGTCACAAGTGGAGTACCATAGGGTTCAGTTCTTGCACCAGTGATGTTTATTGTCTACATAAATGATCTACCAGTTGGTATACAGAATTATATGAACATGTTTGCTGATGTTGCTAAGATAATAGGAAGGATAAGAAACTTAGATGATTGGCATGCCCTTCAAGAAAACCTGGACAAAATAAGTACATGGAGCACCACTTGGCAAATGGAATTTAATGTTAATAAATGCCATGGTATGGAATGTGGAATAGGAGAACATAGATCCCACACAACCTATATATTATGTGAGAAATCTTTAAAGAATTCTGATAAAGAAAGAGATCTAGGGGTGGTTCTAGATAGAAAACTATCACCTGAGGACCACATAAAGAATATTGGGCGAGGAGCCTATGCCACGCTTTCTAACTTCAGAATTGCTTTTAAATACATGGATGGCGATATACTAAAGAAATTGTTCACGACTTTTGTTAGGCCAAAGCTAGAATATGCAGCAGTTGTGTGGTGCCCATATCTGAAGAAGCACATCAACAAACTGGAAAAGGTGCAAAGACATGCTACTAAGTGGCTCCCAGAACTGAAGGGCAAGAGCTGCGAGGAGAGGTTAGAGGCATTAAATATGCCAAAACTAGAAGACAGAAGAAAAAGAGGTGATATGATCACTACATACAAAATAGTAACAGGAATTGATAAAATCGATAGGGAAGATTTCCTGAGACCTGGAACTTTAAGAACAAGAGGTCATAGATATAAACTAGCTAAACACAGATGCCGAAGAAATATAAGAAAATTCACTTTCGCAAACAGAGTGGTAGACGGTTGGAACAAGTTAGGGGAGGTGGTGGTGGAGGCCAAGACCATCAGTAGTTTCAAAGCGTTATATGACAAAGAGTGCTGGGAAGACGAGACACCACGAGCGTAGCTCTCATCCTGTAACTACACTTAGGTAATTACATCGGTCTGCACAACCACCCCTTACTGGGAGGCGGGGGGTCCTCAAACCTCCTGACCTCCACGCCAGCAACTCTCCTCAGTTCAGAGGCTGAGTATCAAAATCACAAAAAGAAACGCTGACCGGAGGGTGGGAGGGATGCCTGGGAGCCTCCGTGTCTCACCCAGAAAATGGCGTCTCATTATGTTCAACGCTGGTTTTCTGTGGAGAGTCCCTTCGGTTCCCCAGAGCTCCCTATGCAAAGACAAAAACAAGGAGGACTTACCCGGGAGGCAGCCGCCACTCTCTCCTCACTCGAAGTTGAGACAACTGGCTGCTACCTGCGACCCAAGGCTACACACGCCCGAGAAGGGCCACGAACATTAACGAGATATCATGCGGTCAAGACCCAGTTCGACCTCCAAAATCCACGTGTCCGAATGTCAACCCAGGACATATTCCCTAAAACAGCAGCCAAAGCCGCGAACTGATGAACATTGTGGGCATGGGGATAGGCCACATGCTGCCTGGACCGAATAATCCCATGGATGACCTGGGAGATCTGCGCCCTGGAAGAGAGAAGAAGGGAAACCGGGTCCACCCAAAGTGCGTCCCCTGCCACTGAGGCCATGGTGCGCAGATAATGGCGAAGAGCTTCAACCGGATACAAAACATGATGCACCCCAGGCTGAACCAATCAAGCATCAACAACCCAAGGACCCCTTCGGAAAGCAACAGACTCCTTCTTAGCCAGAAAAGGAGGAGACGGCTGCAAACGAACGAAACGACCACCAGGACTGTAAGAGCAGAAACCCCTGCGCTGGAGGAGAGCATGAAGCTTCCTGACCTGACCCTCGGAGGCCAATGCCAACAAGAAAAGAACCTTAGAAACACAGTCCTGAACAGAGGGGGCCACCACAAACTGAGGAGAAGAGAGAAAAGAGAGCACCCGATCCAATGACCAGGACGACTCAGGCGGCGCTTAAGCAGGCCGGGAAACAACGCCCGAGAAAGCTTGCGGAACAGAGCAGAAGTGACATCCACCCCGAATGCAAGCTGCAGCGGCTCCGCCAGTGCCGCACGATATGAGGTGACAGTATTTTGAATAAGATGACGGTCCTGAAACAACCAAGAGAGAAAGGACAACACAACCTGATTAGAAAGTGAAGACACCTACGAAGAGACAAAAGATGCTAAACTGCCAGGAAATTTCATACTGCCGACTAGTCAAATCTCGTGGGTGGGACACCATCAACGAAGCCACCTGATCACCATACACGTGATAAACTCATGTCAAAAAGACCAGACGCGAAGTGTGGAGAAGATCCTCCAGGATCTTCGCGAGAAGACCTGAATTTATTGCCTGAACCACAGGGGTTCAATGTTGTCCTTGGCTCTTTAGGACTGGTCCGGGTTTGGCTCTCCTGGCGGTTCATGTTCAAGGGGTGTCAAACATCCTGACATACTGCCTGTCTCGGTTCATTCTCTTATCCATGGAATGGATGGTCGACGCCAACTCGTTCAGTTGGCTCTGCCAGACGTTCAGGTGCCCAGAGGTGGATCTCTTCGCTTCAGCATGGTTTAGGCGTCTTCCAGTGTAGGTGGCGCCCTTCCCAGATTACAAGGCCGTTGGGGCCAATGCATTTTGGCTGGACTGGTCGAGGTGAGGTTATCTGTTCCTCTTCCCACCGGTCCAGTTGTTGCTCCGGATCCTGGCTGGGTTGGAGACTTACCAGGGGATAGTAGTCCTGTTGGCTCCTTGGTGGCTGGCCCAGCCCTGGTTTCAGACGCTTCATGCTCGATGTCTGAACCCGAGGGTCTTCTCGTGGCTTTGGAGATGTACAAAGTGATAATGATAGGTGTGGGAAGCAGGAGGCCAAACACAAGGTACCAGCTGGGAAAGTAAATCCTTCAGGAGTCAGGATGAGAAAAAGATCTAGAGGTTGATATCACACAAGATCTGTATCCTGAAGCCCACATCAAAAGGATAACATCCTCAGCATATGCAAGACTGGCGAACATAAGAACTGCCATCAGAAACTTGTGTAAGAAATCATTCAGAACCTTGTATTCCTCTTATGTCAAACCCATACTGGAATATGCAGCCCCAGCGTGGAGTCCACATTTAGCCTCCGGGTCTCGCCCAGAAAATGGCGTTTCATTACATTCAACACTGTTTTTTTTCACACTTTAATATGCAGATTTTGTTTGTATAGTAGAATAATGTTTTAAATTTTAAGAAATTAAATGCGTTTATATATAATATAGCACAAGCATAGACGAGCGGCCGAGTTTAGAAGAAATCCATCCTGATGATGTCCGTGGTTTGCTAGCTCGAGGAATACCACCATTTCCCTATAAAGTAGCAAAATCTTTGGATCCTGACATATACAGAAATATTGAATTTGATGCATGGAACACTGTAAGGAGAGGTAAGTCTCTGCACCAATGTCAGCTTTCTCATGTTGATGATTTAAATATCTTTACTTCTGTACAAGTATTTTAAAAATTTGTTCTGTTGTATTAAAAAAAATTCAGATAATTTTTTTTGTTAGTCTTACTTAGGATGAATTTAGGTTGGTAAGTAGAAAACATTAAATAAATAATAAAAAAGAATATAATTGATGAATATTAAGAGTAATATAACTGTTAATATGGTGTGAGAGACTAGTTTCTCAGCACCCTAACTTATTGATTGATATTTTGCTTGCAATATTTAACTCCGTTATTTGGTATCCGAAATATGTCAAGCTGGATGTCAAAGGATTCATCTTATCGAGTGCAGTCGCATGATGCCATTGGATATGACCTAAGACATGGATGTATGGCAATGCAGAATACAGACTGGTAGTACCAGGGGTGGCCAACTGCCCACCCAGTGAAGATATTTGTGCTACGAGATGGTAGTGGAGGGGCAGAACAGGTCTCCCCATGTTGTTGGTTTTGCAGTCATAAATCCCCTCCAACCTCCTCGGAAATAATGGGGCATTATCTTGGATGGTGGTGGCACCAGATGCCATACCAAGAGAGTGAACAGGTGCCTAAATCAATCAGAGAAGAGTATGGGAAGGTGAGAAAAGCCTAGGCCTCCTGATAGGCCAAGCAGAAATGCAGTCACAGCATTCACAATGGGCCATGAGGTGGCCGACTTTGTCATTTGGGCAGGACCACTCCATGGTAAAAATTACTATCTCAAGAGCTCTGAGATATGACCCTCTGTCCTGGTTGTCCTAAGTATTATTATAATCCTAACACCTGTAATTATACCAGTTACCAAATCACTGGGTAAATGCAGGAGTTCAGAGGACATAATTCTATCAGCAAGGAGGATTTACGATACTAATGAACGGCACTGGAGACGTCAGGCCACATAAGAACATAAGAATAAAGGTAACTGCAGAAGACCTGTTGGCCCATACAAGGCAGCTCCTATTTATAACCAGCCAGTCCCACTCATATACATATCCAACCCACGCTTGAAACAATCAAGGGACCCCACCTTCACCACGTCATGCGGTAAATGGTTCCACAAATCAACAACCCTGTTACCGAACCAGTATTTACCCAGGTCTTTCCTAAATCTAAACTTATCCAATTTATACCCATTGTTTTGTGTTTTCTTGTGTTGATATATTTAATACCCCCTATTAATATCCCCTTTGTTATGCCCATTCATCACTTGAACACCTCTACCATGTCACCCCAATTCTTTGCCTTTCTAAAGAATGTAATTTAAGCTTTGTCGCTCTTTCTTCATGTGACAGGTTTCTAATTTGGGGGGATTAATTTTGTCATCCTACAATGGACACGGTCTAGTGAATTTATATCTATTCTATAGTATGGCGACCAAAACTGAACTGCATAATCTAAATGGGGCCTAACCAGAGCAAGATATAGCTGAAGAACAGCACCAGGTGTCTTATTTATTTGTCTTTTGCTTTCATTAATAAATCCCAGTGTCCTATTTGCCGTATTATGAACATTTATCCATTGATTTTTGGTTTTAAATTCTTACTAATCATAACTCTCAGATCCCTTTTGCAATCCAACTTCACAATCTTAACACCATCTAGCTTGTATCTTGTAACTCTATCATCATTACCTAGCCTCAAAACCCTACATTTGTCAGCATTAAACTGTATATGCCAATCTTTTGACCATTTCAAAACTCTATTTATATCATCTTGAAGTGATAGCGAGTCTTTTTCCGTGTTTATTTCGCTCCTGATTGTTGTATCATTGACAAATTTGCAAATATTGCTGCTCAAATCTGAATCTTAGACCATTTATGTAATGAATAACAGAGGTCCCAGGATAGAGCTTTGAAGCAGTCCACTTACAACATTTTCCTAGTCTTACTTAACCTCATTTATACTAGCTCTTTGTTTCCTTTGGTATAGTCATGCCCTAATCCAACTTAGTATAGCACCCCCAATACCATGAGCCTCTTATTTTTTTACTCAGTCTTTCATGTGGCACTGAATCTAAAGCTTTGCTAAAGTCAATGTACACAACATCACTAACATTTCCACTATTAATTGCCTCAGCTATGCTGGAATAAAATGATAGCAAATTTGTTAACCTGAACAGCCATTTGTAAAACCATGTTGCGAATCATTTATTAATATGTTTTTCAAGATGAAGACGAATAGTATTTGCAATTATCTATTCAAGTAACTTTCCATAATATATGTTAGGCTAATTGGTCAATAGTTTGATGCAAGTGATCTATCTCCTTTCTTGAAAATTGGATCAACCTTCCACGACTCTAGCACTCTGCCTGCTCTAGGCAGTAGGCATCCTTCAGTCTCGATAGACTATGGAGTTGCGCTCTGGTTGTCAATCCTGGTGCAGCGTCTGGTGTGACTGATGAGGCCGATCCGAGAATGGCAGTCTATCCCACACTGGACACAAACAAAGTCCGATTCTGGTCTTGTCTTCCAGGCTACCGGCTATCCTTCTGTCTTTTTGCCTCCTATTTCTCGGCAAGTGACTCCTCGAACTTGGAGAGACCTCTTTGAACAGACTGCTCCCAGGCTGAACGGTCTGAGGACAGTGTTTCCCACGTAGCAAGATCGACGTCTATGGCTTTCAGGTCCCTCTTACATACGTCTTTGTACCGTAGCTGGGGTTTGCCTGATGGACGCTTTCCCTGCGTCAGCTCTCCATACAGGAAATCCTTGGGGATCCTGCAGTCGCCCATTCACACCACGTGCCCGAGCCAGCGCATTTGTCTCTGTTTCAGCATTGTGTACATGCTGGGGATTCTAGCTCTCCCCAGGACATTATTGTTTGTCATCTTGTCCTGCCAGGTGATGTCCAAGATGTGTCGAAGGCAGCACATGTGGTAGGCATTCAGCTCTCTTTTCTGACGGACGTGGAGTGTCCAAGACTCGCTGCCACTGCCTGACTCTAATGATTCATTAAATATGGTAGACAGTGGCTCGCAAAGATCTTCTTTGCATTCTTTAAGCGCCCTGGGGATTTGTTTGTCTTGAGTTTCACTATTTGTTTAATAACATCCTCCTTGGTAACTGATAAACTAGTCAACCTATCCTCTCCCCACCCACACAGACTTGTTCAGCTGAAGGCATAATGTTAAGTTCCTCTTTAGTAAATACAGAGATAAAATATTTATTAAAAATACTGCTCATCTCTTCATCATTATTAGTTATGTGATCTGTTTCAGTTTTTAATGGGCTTAACCTTTCCCTAATCTTTGTTGGATGTAGCTGAAAAAAACCTCTAGGATTTGTCTTTGCGTGCCCTTCTATGCGAACTTTATAGTTTCTTTCTGGGGAGAGCCCCTATGGCTCCCCTGATCTATCCATGCTGATAGGGATAGTCCTAACTTTTGGCATCAGTCGATGTGGATGGAGCTCTAGGCCTACTGGAGACCACGGCAAGAACCTGGCTTCCCTCAGAGGCACGAGGAGCAATGGCCCAAAGAAATGCACATGTAATTTTGGAGCATTCTATATCTGCCATGAACTGGGACAGGCACCCAGAAAGGTAAGCTCCTCAAAACAAATCCTTATTCTGGCGAAACCAACGAAAATAATGAAACAAGTGGACAGAACTTCCCAGTTGAAAACAAACAAACGAGCATGACATCACATGAGCCGCGCCGCATACTGTATCTGCGCAGCTCCCCCCTCCCTGATAGGGAAAAGGCGGAGCCCCAGACCCCCCACTCTGGCAATTCACACCACAGTTCCTCGGCTGATGGGATAAGGCTTGGTCATTGTGGCTCCAGCTCAAGATTCTTATTGTGCTTTGCCTGGATTCAGTACTTCTCTTCGTTGGTGTGCGAGTTGGGAGTATTATTCCTAGGTACTCTCGGCTGCATGCACTTAGGGCTCCCTTCCCTAAGTCCCCTGTAAGTACTGCCCTAGGGGCTTTGGGCTACCTTCCACAATTCACCTTGGGTCTACTTTTTTTGGTCTTTTGCTGCTTGGTGATTTACTGCCCTGAGTGTTTTTGGGGGTTTCCTCCCTAGTTTGCCTTGGGGTAACTGGTAGTTTTTGCACTGGTAGGGGTGCGGGGTAGTGCATAGCTAGTTTTCACCTATAACAACGGCTGTCTCTGTTTCCTCTGGGTACACAGTCCTCTTGCAAGGTTTTTCTTTTCCTTTTGTTTTTCCGTGGCAGGGGGGTTGGGGGGGTCTGCCTTGGTGTTCCTCCCCCTTTATATTAGGGTGGTTTGTGTTCGGTGGTACTCCCCTGCTTCGCCCTCGTGAATGGACACGTTCCAAGGGTTCAGCTTTAGCAGTGTTGATTGGTAGCTTGGGCGCCGGTTAGCAGTACCCAGCCTGGGATTACCCTTAGTAGACCCAGTCTAGGGGCCCCTGGGACACCCCGTGGGGGCGCTTGGTTCCAATGGATGTGATTCCTAAGTCTCCTTTTGCAAGTTTGAGGGTTGCTCTGTCCCCTTGTCTCAGGGAGACGCTCATTGTTTTTGCCTGCATCATGCTGCCTGTTGGGTTGGTGACACATTCAACCCTGAGTCCTGCGAGCTTTGTTGCTTGTATGTGACTCAGTTTACCTAATCTGATGATGATAATATTCGGGTGCAGACAGCTCACACGAGGCAAGATAGGTTTAGAGTCTTCAGCGCGCTAGGTTGGTTGCTTCCCTGGAGGCCCCGAGGCTGCCACGTTTTGCTTATAGGGACCCGAACTTGGGGGTGTTGATCACTTCGGCCTTGGTTCCGTCCCCAGCCCCCCTCGTTTTTTCCCCTGCTGTGGTTCTTTCAGTTCCTCCCTCTGCTTCCGGCTCCTAAGCATCTGAAGGCTTCAGGGTCGGGGCAGGGTTTAGAGGTTTCTGAGACTCGGGGGCAGTTTGGGGGTTGCCCCTTCCAGGATGGCGAGGGAGGCATTCGAGTCGGTTCCTCCAGCCTTAGCACCGTGATCTGACCAGTGGGCTCCTTCTCT